AGCAAATAACGAATGAACACTCGGTGTCTTTCTCACAGAAATGTGATATTCTAATTTATATAGGAATATAAAAAAATCATTAAAACATTGTCATAGCATAAAATCAGTTATGTCAAATAAATCTGTTTTCATCACCAACTCTATTTCCACCTGGAATGAATATCAAGAATATCACGGAGATTCTCTTCAATTTGAACTCTGTTACTACATATTTTAAGTTTCAGGAACATTTGTCCGAACTATCTCTGTAGCAAGATTTCAAGATTTCAAGATTTATTAGGAAAACACTCAGACACATATACAATGTGTTACAATAGGTCATTATTGATAACATATATACATTAAATATGACAGAAATGAACATCCAAGTCAGGAGCCTCTAGCCTTTGTTAGTCTTGTATTATTTTTAATTTTAGTTTCTTGTGTACAATTTGGAGTTTAGTATGGCGTTCATTATCACTGAACTAGTATATATATTTGTTTATGGGCCAGCTGAAGGACGCCTCCGGGTGCGGGAATTTCTCGCTGCATTGAAGACCTGTTGGTGGCCTTCTGCTGTTGTCTGTTCTGTGGTCGGGTTGTTGTCTCTTTGACACATTCCCCATTTCCATTCTCAATTTTATGTGATTAGATACAAATAAATATGACAGTACAACTTCGCACTTTGGACTTCAATTAACTATATTAATACAAACAAAATTTAAAGAAGAGAAGACAGTTTTCTGATAAACACTGACAATTTCTTATATAATTCAATATTGCAAAGTGACAAAAGACCTTCCGTTTTTACAATATTTGGATTATTTCTATAATATTGTGGTAAATATCTGTTTCTCAATTCTACTATATCTGCATTTTTACAAATAAATAATACATGATATTCATCACCAATATCCTCTTTGTATAAATTACACATTCTTTCTAGTTTTGGTATATTGCATGTACCATCTACCAGTTTCTATAGGCAATCGTAAATTTGCAGTTCTAAATTTTGAAATCCAAATTCTAAATGACTCTGGTAAACTAATAAGATATTTTTCTATTTCAAAACTCTTTTTGTACAGTGAATAAAATTGTCTACGCGATGTGGTGTGCAAGTCACTGTACCATATTTGTATGAACTGGTCACACAAAATTTGTTTTACTAAATCCTTTTCGTATACAGCAAACTGGTTTAAAAAGATATATAGCTCATGCCTAACTCATTAAATACAGATTCTATGTGGCTTATCCACTTGAAATTCACCCCATGATTGTTTTTTAAACATAGCATTAACTTGTATAATGTACTGCTCAGTTTATTTTCATTTAATACTAATTTACTCCAAAAAGAAATCATCCTCAATTTGACCCGAATTTCGAGTGGAAACCTCCCAAGTTCTCCATAAACCATAAATGATGCAGTTGAATTTCGAACTTTCAAAATTCTTTTACAGAACTGTTGAACTTTAGATTGAGAAAATAAGACATAAGAACGAAATACGTATAAAAGTCAAGTGTAAAAATCTTTCTGATTGCATTATTTGAAAATACAAAGTCTAATGGAAAAGATAAGACAATTTGTTTTGTCTAAATAAAATAGTTCCTACTTATACTATAATATATGCAATTGAAATTGAGTCGTGTTGTTTAAAAAGATGCATGTCTTAAAATGAAATAAATGTTTAACAATGGTTTCTTTGAAGGCAAAAAGCAGTTAAAATGATTTTTCAAGGTTTGGTCGTTTCAGCATAGGATCGTCACTCCTATATTGAAACTCCTTTGAACACGAATTGGGTGACGAGTCCAAGTCATGCTCGAAAGGGGTCGAAAGAATATACAAAATGTTTTGGTACGTCTGTGCCCGTTATACCATTGTTAAAACGTGAATAACACCAATTTTGTTACTACTGTTACTTGATATATTGATTGTCATTAAATGTTTGTCTGATAAAACGACCATCAACTTATGTAAAAACACTAGGTCCAAACAAATATTCTATGACAATCCTATATGATATTGAATCTTATACTAACAAACCTATGCGTCTGGAAAAAATGTCTTTTGTGTCTGCATAATATGTTTATTAATCTTTTGTTGTGAAATTGTGGGAACAAACACTTTTATAAAATGTGAAATTTTATACATATGGCAATTTACTTGAAGACTTATCTAGTTCATGTAGTTTATATGACAATTCTACAGCAACAAAAGGAGGGGGTGGCTATTGTCTCCTTGTCTTGTGTGCTTTTATACGTTTAGTTTGAAAAATGCAAACTTTAAAATCATGTCTTATTTCTGGGGGAATATTTTCTTCCGGTTCCCATGTTTGTCTCTGTGACTAAACCCTAACCATTTTATTTTGTAATACATTTTTTTGTTATACGCTTTGCTTGAATTACCCGTTTTACTTGGTACAGATCTTGATCATCGTTAGTTCGGATATCATAGGTATGCCGTTGTACTTGATTATCGATTCGTATACGTTCATTAGAGTCTGGCTGTGTATCGGTTTGAACAATTTTCTTCGGCATCTTGGGCATTTTCCTCTTCATTATCTTCATTGTCTGACATTTAGTCAGTTGGGACATCTACATTGTTTGTAGGCCTATCTTGTGGATTGTAATATTGTTTCAACCTGTTTGCGTTGACGGGTCCTTTGATTGGTACATCGTCTGAACAGCGCCGTAGTTTGTATGTGTTCATTCCGGTTACCTCAGTTATGTAATATGGACCTTGCCATTTATTACAAAGCTTTCTTGAATAACCAACTGGCGTAGTCTATGTGTCCATCCAAACTTTGTCTCGAATTCTAAAAATTGCCTCTCTAGCATTTTTATCATGTTGTGCCTTGTATTTCTGGTGTGCCTCAAGTGAATTTTCTTTGGCTCTTTCTAAATGGTCCTAAAATGTCCATATGAACCTTTCTGAATACGTCTAGGATTGGAAGTGGCTGCAAAGACGCCGGGCGTTTGTGCGCATCTATCTTAGCTCTTTGACACTGTATACACGTCTGTACATATTGTTGAATGTCAATGTACATACCAGGCCAATAGTATTTATATCTTATGGTATGATAAGTTCGTTCAATGCCACCGTGTCCACCAAGTAAACTGTCATGGTATGACTTCAGGATATCGTCTCGTAGAGTAAGGGGTACTGCTAACCGTTTGACTATTCTATCCGCCCTGTGACCTTTTCCTTTTGGGTAATATAAATGAAATAATACATCGTCGTCCAACTGAATGTAATCTTGCGATTCGATCACAGTTTTTCTTGCTTGTCTCGTTATATCTGGTAGTTCTTTATCTTTTATGTACTTGATGATATGTTGAAAGTTCTCATCTGCTCTTTGATCACTCACGACCTTTTCGTGTGTGCTTGTAGTAACTCGCAAATGGACGCACATGTCTCTAGCTCGATGAAATCGGCTTCTGTTTGTGTTGATGATTCAACTGTAGATGTCGTTGTAATAGCAACCACTTCCGTATCATAAAATCGTCTACTTAAAGCATCAGCGTTACCATTAGCCGTTCCCTTTTTGTGAATTATTTCAAAATCATAGCTTTGCAGGAACATAGCCCATCTTGCAAGTCGGCCTGTGCTTTAGTCTCCTTCGTAAGCTTCTGGATGTGTAGAAGTGCTTCGTGATCCGTATATATTTTGAATTTTCGGCTAGCCAAATAAACATGATATTGCTTAACTCCTTCAACCAAAGCTAAATATTCAAGATCCCTGATACAGTAGTTCTTTTCGGCTCCTCGTAATGATAGCCCACCATAAGCAATGACTTGTTCTCTGCCTTTATGATCTTTTTGTCCAAGTTCGTAACCAATTACGATCTGTGAAGCGTCCGTGTACAGGATAAAATCTTTTGAAAAGTCTGGAAACGCAAGTATTGGAGCTGAGATTAAAAGTTTCTTTATTTCCTCGAATGACTGTTGACAGCTCTTGACCCAAATAAATTTTGCTCCTTTTATAAGTTGTCTGTGTAACGGGTTAGCAATTTTAGAAAAACCTTTAACGAACTTCCTATAATAATTTGCAAGTCCTAAAAATGCTCGAACGTATGTTGTATTTTGGGGAACTGGAAATGTTTTTACCGCATCTGTCTTAGTTGTGTCAACAGCAGTTCCATGTCAAGTTTGACAAAACGTGGCCCAAAAACTTTACTTCTTTTGCAGCGAAAGTACATTTTGCTGGTTTAAGTTTTAGACTGGTCTCCTCTCTTTTATGAAAAAGCAAATACAGCCCTGTTACTACATATATTTTGATAATAACCTTTTTCAAAGATTATAATTATAGTTTTACTCTATAAATCCTTGCTCTTATCAAATGGTTGGGAGAATATGGATTAATGATTAGCCGATGATATCATATATTTTTCATATACAACATGCCGTGAAGATACCTTTAACCGTTCGCTCTTTAAACTTAAGAAAGACTTTTTTAGATTTCATAGTACTATAAATTTTTGTAGCAAGATTCAAAAGTAAAGCTACGGATTTTTCCAGTTCGCAGGATGATCAACATATCGAATTCGGAGAAGCCGGTTAATTATCCGGCATAACTTATACCATCTGTTAATACGCAATTCAAACTCGGAGGAAGTCATAGTTCGTGTAGTTATGAACCATAAATAGAAACAATGCAATACGTTTAATTTGCATTAAGTGTCAGTTACAGTGGTGGTGACGAACAAGTAATCCACTGTGCTCCATATTGAACAAGGCAAATCAGTTAACATATCCAACTTCTGATTTACTAAAACTGACATATTTCCAGTGAAAGGCATTTAGTACATAGTTAAGATTAACAATTTGGTGTTGTTCATATTGATTAATCATTCATTTATTATTTAGTTCGATTATTTGTTATCTCTAATCCTGTACATCACAACCTCATCGACACAGACTGTACAAGTAGTGAGAAAATAGACTGTGAAAATTTGGCGGGGAAAGTAGAAGGGAGACAACTCCTAATTATTATTTTTCATCCGACGGAAGGAAGAAAACCAAGAGACCCCAAAAGACACAAGTATAAACCTGTTGGGAATGAACGAAATGATTGGTCTGGTCGAACACACACCGGCGTCTTAGTATAAATAGAAGAAAAATCTGCTAACGTAATGATTTTCTGATAGACGATCGGCCAGAGAGGTAAAAGTATAATCTAATATATACTGTATTTCTTTGCTTTTCTGCAAACCTGTACGTGATTTATAATTATGTTTCATTATGTTTATAAATAGTATTATATTGCATTTAATATGGTGATAATATACTATGCCGTGCATTTCATTATCTTGTGAATTGATTAACAATCGATTACAAGTAAACAAAATTGTAACCCATAACATTCAGATAAATACATAAATAGCAAGACTTGTCGGACAAAAAGGGGGCGTGGCATGCGGAAGTGCTACCCCATGCACAAGAAGAATATGTTATTGATTTGATTTATTACAGATTTTAAAAGCAAGTTGGTGACCAAAGAACCGAGAATAGATATATATTTTGATCATCAGATAGGAAGGAAAAACTAATATAGCTAGATATCAAAACTGCAAAAGGTCTTTCAAAAATGGGTATAGTAGAGTGCATGTTGAGAGGCGGTCTAAACATGGCCCCCAAGGGTACCTCAGGGTATATTGATTGATTGTTGGTTGCTTAACGTCCAGTGGCAAATATTTCATGCATATTCAGGACGAGAACAAATTAACAATAAATACAATAGGTAGGTTCTGTAATATGGGCGTCCGGGATTTAGGTCGGAGAAATTTAGACTGACACGGGAAATGAGGGTATATTGGATAGGGACAGAAATTTAGCCTTGCAACAGGTCACCTACGGACCCCTCAAAGAGTTGTTGCAAGGGTTCTTAACGTGCAAAGAACGTGGCACTCTCTTTACACGAGGCATCGGATTTAACGTCCCCATTCTGACCGGACGTGGAGGCAAATATGTACATCCTGCACAGCCAAACGCAGGGCTGCCAAGTTTCATGCATTTAGCGTGAGACTCACGCATTTTCATGCTTATTTGGCGGCATTTTCCTTTGATCTATTGTTTTTTCTCTTTGATCTTTACGATTTTGGCCAAATCTCACGCATTTGCATTATTAAAAGTTGACAGAACTGCAAACGGACGCCCCACTTTAGCAAGGGTTTTACTGCCGGTCTGACGAAGACCAATGGTGACCATACTTCTATTCCCCAGTCACCCTTTGGGGAAATAGGTCCCAATTTCTCTGTGTTGGAGATTTGTTCTTTGATTGAGTGAGATATTTCAATACACTGTCGAAATTGGGATTGGGAAAAATGATGCCTTGTGTGAGGAATGTGTCAATCTCACATCAATTTAAAGTTCCTTTATAACAAATCTTTCAGGGGTCCGCAGATGGTCCAGTGCAAGGCAAAATATCCCTATCCAACATGTCAAAATTTTCTTGTGCCAGTTCAAAATGTTCCAACTTTCATCCTTGCTAAACCATTTGCATGTAGCAAGCCTAGCTATCTATTAGATTTATTAGTAAGTTGTTAATTGAATATTTATCAAATATTTGCCACTGGAAGTTAAGCAAACAACAATCAATCTATTAATCTTTTCATAAACCGAGTACCACATAAATGACATTGAAATTATGTACATGTTTTAGAAATATATAAAAGATCAAATCAATATATGATTGTAAAAAACAAGTAAAACATTATTGTTCTGAGAGTGCAGTTAAATATTCAAAACTTTATTCAGTCTCAAAATGTTTGTCATTGAAAGAATCCTCCTTGCAAAGTATGCAGTTTATGTAATTGTAAGTATATCTTGAAACTTCTGGGCCAACCTAGATCAAACTTGACCACAATCATCTTTGAGGTGCTTATGTTTAAGTTATTCAGATGTGCCTTCAAATTGACCAGAATGGCTGTAGTTACTATAAATAGCTTTTACATCAGCTCAAAATAGAAAATTTCAATAATTTAAAAGAAAAATTATGTGATGAAAACAGCCCCCAATCATTTGTATTCCACCTAGTCTTAGCAGTGCAGAGGAAAAAAAAAGGATATTGTGTATTACTTCATGACACAAAAACCTTATACAAACTCTCAACACACCCAAAAACAAAAGATCGAGGATTTGTGTGTAGGCTATGCTTGGGGTAAAATTTTATTTAATCTTCAAATAATCCATGCAATGCAAACGAAGACGGTTAAGAGGTATGGCGATGAAGTTGCTAAGAATCAAATAGAATAGAAGTTTTGATTTCTATCATTGTAATGGTCTAGAGTCAGCTATACTGAAATGTTAAGTCAAGTACTGTCAGATTTTGTTCATATAAATGACATTTGTGCATTAAATTCAATCCTTTCATCCAACTTTATTTACAGATGCCACCAAAAAGGAAAGCCACAGGGAAAGCAGCTGCTGGTGGGAAGAAAGCCAAGAAAGAGGAGGCAGCGGATGCTCCAAAGACAGTACATGATCACATAGCTTCACTGAAAGCTGCTGATGCTGGCAAGAAAAAGAAACATAAACCAGATGATAGGTTTCCCTTTGCAGCATCATGTGAGGTAAGGGAACGACCATTTAACTTCAAGGGGGGTCATGGTTTTTTCCTCAAAAAATATTCTGATTCCCAATTTGATGAAAAAAAATATTATGGTCAAGCAGATGACAAACAAAAATATTCTGAATCCAGATTTTCCCCATACCTTATAGTGTTAAATTTTCTGACAAAAAACCATAACTTCCCCCTTGAAGTCGAATGGTTGCTCCCTAAGTACAAGAAGTATATCATTTCCATTGCATCATTTCTAAATGAAATGTGTGTGTTTATTTGCATAGAAATTTTATTGAATTTTATTTGAAATTGATATGTGTCATAGTTCTCCTTAGAAAATTTCAAATAGCATCCTGGCAAACATGTTTTAAAATAGTATCCTACATGTCTTATGTCTTAACATGATATAGTGCCAGGGTTGATAATTACTTACAATGTAACAATAAAGCATTGGGAAACTTTAATCAGTTAAGATCAGTATAAAAATATAGCATCAGAATAGTCATATCTTGATGCTAAAGGGCCTAGAGAGAATACTTTCTATTTTATGGTGTGTCAAGTTGCATAATAATATCTTTTTATGCCATCCTAGTTTATTTTTTAGTTCTCCTGAATTTAGGAAGCTGTCAACACTTTCCCACCCCAATAAAATTTTAAGAAGAAGCGTTCAATTCTGATGTATATCAAAGTTGATCAAACCTGTAAGAAACAGTTTAAATGCATACAAATGCATACAGATTAATAGAAATTACATTATCATGTTTTGTTTAATTCCAGGTTTATGATGATTATGACTGTATGTTAAACCAGACAAACATAGGACATAACAACAACAAATATTATGTCATTCAAGTTCTCAAGATGGGTCCCACCTACTATACATGGAACAGATGGGGTCGAGTTGTAAGTAAATACCATAACAACCAATTAATAAGCACTGTTTAAACCTTGAACTTAAGACCAAAAGAAAACATTTTTTTTTTGTTTCAGGTTTCCCTGTTTATCCTATTCTGTATAAAAAAATTATGTCAATCTGAGTTTTTGTCAGCATTTTCCTTATTGAGTTTCATACAATATTCCGCATTTAGATCCTGCTTGTTTGGGGAGTAAACCAGAGAGGATCCAGCCTATTTGTAAAGGTAGAGGTCATTCCTATTGGGGGAAAGAAGACCCTCGGTACAGTTTTATGCTGATTTTACATAATTTAAAGAAAATTTAGAAGAATTCTTGGAAATTTGAATTTAAATCACTGAAAGGTCTTCATCAATGAACTTGATGATTAACAGGTTGAGAAAATAGATATTTCTATTAAGTTATGAGAAATCTATTATACATTATTTTTTCAAGCACCACACATTTAGCATTGCAGTTATTCTCTTTTTAACGTCATACCATTTAAAAATTTTATTTATTCAATTAAGATAAAACCCTATTATATTCATAAAAAAAATATTCAATTTCTAGAGCACTTGGCTTAGTTAATTCATACATATATAAAGTAAGTAGACTTTCTTTTATTCCTTATTTTTTTCTATCGTTCAGGAAAATCAATGAAAATCAACGATTATTTCAGTTCTCATTAAGTTGTAAAAAGTTTTACAGACATTTATTTGAAGTAACATTTTATTGTGATTAACTCTATTAAAGGGAGAATCTGGCTCAAACTCGCAAAAAGCATTTTCAAATGTAAATGAAGCCACTAAAGATTTTGAGAAGAAATTTAGAGACAAAACCAAGAATAAATGGGCAGATCGAGCTAGCTTTAATCCAGTGCCAGGCAAATACACAATGATAGAAATGGCAGGAGAAGAGGAAGATGAAGTAGATGTAAGCAAAGTTGGTTTAAGGCAAATTGGTAAAAATAATGACCTTATTAGAGATGATTTTTTTGGGATAAAAAAGGGTCGGTGGGAATACCTTCTATGCCCCGACCTGAATACACATAGTAAGGGGTTGTATTGTCGCGTTACCTTTATTTTTATGTCTGTGTTCATATTTTTGTATAGTCAAATCTTTGATAGTCTTTGACTTATTTGGTCTCTGTGTAATTCAGAGCATGCCACACAGTCTGATTGACACTATATGGTGACCTCTAGATGTTTTACTTTTAGTGAAATTTTGTTGCTGGGTTGCTGCCTCATTGATGTTTACACCACATCTACTTGTATTATCAAATAGATTCTGGCATGGGCTATTATTTTTATTTTGGCAATTTTTTTCAAATTAAAAACAAACATACTTTGAACTCATTTCCTAACAAATGTTCCTGAAATTTCAATTATTAAACTCAGAAATATTTATACAGGAAGTTTTCTGTATTAATTTTCATAGTTTCGTTTTAATCTTAGTTTTTCAGAATTCATAATTTAGAAATGAACTTATAGTTTTACGTCACAAGTTACTATAGGAATATTGTAATATTGTGACTGCAAAGCTGAAGTAAATCATGAACTCTTGAAATTAAACTTTTAAAGATTATTTGACAGTAGCCATAAGAAACTGCAAATATTTCTGAGATATTAAATGAAAAGTTAAAAAAAATCAGTAAGGAAATTAGCTCAAAATATTTTGTTTTAAAATTTATTGATTTATATAAAATACATAAGGGAAAAACCAAGAAAGGAATGACTTCTGTCCACATATTGTACATATGGAAAAAATTGTCTTTTTTTATTCAGGCACCAACTGTTAAAACCCCAACTGGACCAACAGCTGCCTGTACTCTAGACGCTCCAACACAGTCCCTCATGAAGCTGATATTTGACCATGACATGTTCCAAGATGCAATGAAAAGTTTTGATATTGGTATGTATGTTTAGATAATATAAAAAGGAAACTTTTGGTGCAGCTTTTTGTCTGCTATTTTTGTGGCAACATTTGGTACATGGAAATCAATAAAACTACCGTGAATAGCACACTTAAAAAGTTGTATTTTTATGCCAACAGGGGCATTAAGTGTTACCCTTGACTGTTCGTCCATCCTTCCATCCATCTTTCCCCCTGTCCATCGGTCCGTCCCATTTTCGTTTCCACACTCTAACAAAGTTTGCCTAATGCAAATTTTATGAAACTCAAAAACAATGCTAAGAACCACAACATGCAAACAGAGTTCAAATTTGGGCAGTAAGCCACTTACTGTTCTAGAGTTATGCCCCTTTATAACTTTGAAATTGCTATTTATTTATGAAAATCAAACACAATGATAAAAACCACAACAAGCAGACAGAGTTCGAATTTGGATTGTGAGTCATTTACCATTCTAGAGTTATGACCATTTTAAACTTGGAAAATTGTAAAGCTTGAGCGGGGGCATTCATGTCCTCAGACACATTCTTCTTTTATTTTCCTTTGAATCAAAGTTTTATACATATAAGTTTATTCAAATGATGGGATGATGCAGAAGACAGATAAATTACAATGACTCAATTTTAGATTTAATCGGGAAATCACAAAAAAATGGACAGCAAGATAATTTCTCAGTTTACAGTAAATTAAGTAGTATTACTTTTTATACGACCGCAAAAAATTTTGAGGTTGTATATTGGTATCACGGTGTCGTCGTCCGACATTTGAATTACCTCCCTTACACTGCTTTTAAATTATGTTTAAAGAAATGTTGTATTGTCTTGAGGTGATTAGCTGTCAATTTATTTTTAGAAGTTACTATTTTACAAATGCTGATGAAGATAATTTAAAATTTATGTATGTCATTTTCTATTGAAAGACTTTTATGATGTATTTAAATGGGTTATTATGGTTGCAAACTCCATTGGAAATTTGAATTGAGATTATGACCATATCTTGAGGGAAAGAATATTTTGTTGGAAAAGGGGGGGGGGAAGGTTAAAAAAAAATTTGGGGGGTGGGGACAATTTGTTCTCAAGATTTCAGACCTCTGTGGTCGTATCCAGCTGTGCTCGACGAAGCAATTTATTGAATTTCATAAGTGATTTTTATGTACTTTAAACTTTGAAATAGCTATATCAGTTACGTTTCTCTAGTTTCATTTGACTACTCATCTTTGAAAATTGACCTGTCAAAATTTAACAAATGTAAAGCATTTTACTTTATGAAATTTAAAACACAAACAAAAGAAAACAAACCTTTCGGAATTTTGGGTCCTCAATGCTCTTCAACTTTTTACTTTATTTGGTCTAATTTACTTTTTAATAAGAGCGTAACTGACGAGTCTTATGTGGATGAAACACACGTCTGGCGTACAAAATTTTAATCCTGGTATCTATGATGAGTTTATATAGAGGTCTGAAATGCAGATTGAAAAATGAAATGGTACAAAGGGTTTCTCCTACATATATTTAAAATAAAGGAGATAAGGTATGATTGCCAATAATCTTTTTACAGTATCTGTATGTTTTAATAATGAATGGCTATTATTTATTTTGAATTTATTGAACCATAAAATTAATTTTTGACTCTTCACATTAAATAATCTGCGAAGCGGATTATGTAAAATGTGAAGAGTCAAAAATTAATTTTATGGTTCAATAAATTCAAAATAAATTATTGTCATTCATTATAAATAAATTTCTATCAAAAATAAGGCTCAAAGAGCTTTTTATATTATTTATATTAACAATAACAACGTACACACATGTTTGCGTATGAATACACAAAGTCAGAGTGGGTGTGTCGCTATAAAAATTGACAAAATTGAAAATAAAGGTAATACTTTTAACCAATCAGAAGACAGTAAATACACCAAATTTATATATATACTTATACATTGTGTATCCTATTGATATATTGGTTTTTCATGATTCAAAATATGATTTTAATCAATTTTCGATCTGAAACATAATTTTTTTTTAAATTTTTTGATTCTGAACAAAGTTTTCTTAATATTTTGGAAGCTTACCATTATGGTGTTGAGTCAAAATTGATAATATCAGTGAAGCAAAAATATTGCACACTTGAAATCTAAGAAACAAACTTGATTTATTCATGCCAAGTATTTTTAACAACACAAAGCTGTGATGCCTACTTTTGTGAAGAAATTGACAGAGAGAAATATCAGAACATAAAATAACAGTTATTTTTTCAATATGAATCTTTTCTTACACAATTAACCACAAAGCCTATGGTCCAGGCCAGTAAAATTTTCCTGAAAGGAGGCCTCACAAGCCATATAAATTTACCGGTAATGCAATTTTATGCAAGAGATTTTCAGGCTTGTAAGTCAAAATTTCTTTTATTATGACTGTATTGTGTTTATTTATTATTGCAATTGCTGAAAAATGGGCAAAAATGTGAGATTTCTTTATTGCCATTTCAGGAAATGTTGCAAAGAAGTACTGCTATCAAAATGGCAGTTTTTACTTTTGGAAAACCTATCCAGTGGCAATTTTCACAATAATAAAAATATTATAATACTTCTTGAGTTTCACAAAGCCATGGTTTATCATTTTTCTAGTAAACTGAGTATATTTATTTATGTATGTAAATAACTATACAATATAGATATTGAATTTATATAGGCAGGATATATGATTAATTCTGGTATATGCCTATTCATCTATTCACATATATCCCACTGTAATCTAAAAACATTTCTATTTCTTTCACAGATGTAAAGAAAATGCCTTTAGGGAAACTGAGTAAGTCACAGATTGCTAAAGGATTTGAATGTCTGGATGACATAGAAAAAGCTCTCAATGCCAAAAATCCAAAGAATACATTAACAGCTCTATCATCTACATTCTATACCTTGATACCACATGACTTCGGACGTCGTATTCCACCAACCATTGATACTCTTGAAACACTCAGATCGAAGATGGACATGCTTCTGGTAAGAATTTCTGTCAGTGTTAAGATTGTGTTGGTTGTGTTTTTCTTCTGTAATTAATGTATATTATTTAGGATTCATTTCTTTTTAGTGGATATCAATTTTTGTGGATTGAGGAACAGTTGTTTTTTCTTGGATATTTTATTTCATGGATTGCCAAAGTCTGTACATATGTGTTATTCGTTGTAACATTTAAGGATGTTCTGTACTCTGTTTCACAATAACAATCTTTTTAAAAGACTGTTATAAATTGATAGTATATAAATTAAGAAACTAAAAAAGCAGAAAAAAATGAAGGGTCCATGTGCTTGTTTTCGAGATATAAGCCATTGAAAATTTGGGGGGAAATAATTCTCTCTAGATTTTTCATACATTTAACATTGACACCTTTTTTCTTTCAAAAACGATGAAAAAATAACAAGGATTTTATAAGATTTTCAAAGATGACATTTTAAACTTTATGTAATCAAATTATGGAAAGAAAAGTAGGGGTTAGTGGGTAAAATTTTTAAATGGCACTACATGGATAAAACCAGAGGAATCCAAATATCTGGCAAAAATTCAAAAACAAGAGGAGCGAACATCCTTAAATTCAAGATTTACCAATACCCACTAAATCCACTAAATTTGGTATCCCACGAATAATAATGAATCCACTGTAATCTGTAAAAAATGACTTGAAGAATGAATTTTTTTTTTTTTTAATAATTTATCCATTTGAAACAATGAAAATCAACATTTTCATTATAAAGTTTATGAATATTATTAAAATTTTATCATTTTTCTTTAGTGCAGCTGTATTTTTCTGTCTACATTTATTTGTCAACGTTTTTCTGGTCATTTAGTTTTATTGCTGCAACATTGTCCAAGTGTGCTGTGCCACTTTAAACTGTCATCATTCAAGTAATCAGTTTGTGTGATTTACTGTATTGGTCAACGGAAATGTTTATTTCCTGATACCAACATAACAAACAACATAGAATTGTATAATACATAGCTGTATATGATATTAAGACATGTTTATGCTTTTGTAACAGAATTGTATAATACATAGCTGTATATGATATTAAGACATGTTTATGCTTTTGTTACAGAATTGTATAATACATAGCTGTATATGATATTAAGACATGTTTATGCTTTTGTTACAGAATTGTATAATACATAGCTGTATATGATATTAAGACATGTTTATGCTTTTGTTACAGAATTGTATAATACATAGCTGTATATGATATTAAGGCATGTTTATGCTTTTGTAACAGAATTGTATAATACATAGCTGTATATGATATTAAGGCATGTTTATGCTTTTGTTACAGAATTGTATAATACATAGCTGTATATGATATTAAGACATGTTTATGCTTTTGTTACAGAATTGTATAATACATAGCTGTATATGATATTAAGACATGTTTATGCTTTTGTTACAGAATTGTATAATACATAACTGTATATGATATTAAGACATGTTTATGCTTTTGTTACAGAATTGTATAATACATAGCTGTATATGATATTAAGGCATGTTTATGCTTTTGTTACAGAATTGTATAATACATAGCTGTATATGATATTAAGACATGTTTATGCTTTTGTTACAGAATTGTATAATACATAGCTGTATATGATATTAAGACATGTTTATGCTTTTGTTACAGAATTGTATAATACATAGTTGTATATGATATTAAGACATGTTTATGCTTTTGTTACAGGTTCTAGGAGACATTGCATTGGCACAGGAAATGGAGAAGGAGAGAGACAAGATGGCAGTAAGTTTGATGTTTATTTTTTCTAACTTCAACATCTAAGAAATGTTCTTCCAGAAGTGTGAGAAATGCTGAAACAACATAAAAAAAAACTCTAATGGTATCATCTTGAGACATACTAAATATGATAATAAGAAGATGTGGTGTTATTGCAAATGAGACAACTATTCACCAGAGACGAAAGCATGAGGATGTTTACCAAGTGATATAAACAAATTCATTTAGTCATTATTTTTTGACATTGTCATTAAATTTATAGCATTATTCAATCAGAATTCACATAACAAAGAAAGTTATGTTATTAAAGTATGGAAATTACTGCATTCATGCTTAAACCACAAAACTATAAAACTTAATATCAAGAAACCAACCTTCAATGTAGCTCAAAAGCAGAAATTAGCCTCACTATGGCCTAAGCTTGAATAATGACAATTTCTTCGTGATTGTTTAATAAATTATTTGTTTTGTATGTAATAATAAATTGCTGTTTATTTCAGGGTTCTAAGAAAGATAAAGACAAACCTGCCCATCCTCTGGATGTCAATTACAATTTACTGAAATGTGACCTTGAGAGAGTTGACCCCAAGAGTAAAGAATATAAAGTAAGTTAAAATATGGAAGACATTCTATTCAAATTTTAGTAGAAGTCTCACAATTTAAACCCACACTCCTGAAGATCTTTCCTAAAAAGTGAATTCAATCAATGAAAAGTTGAGAACAATACCAGATTTTAAACATAATATGTTAAGTAAGCTGAGAAATTATAAATTTCAGAAAAGAAAATGTCTGTACACCCATACTCATTTCTTTATTAATGGAGGATTTGGACAAATTACAGGGTTATTCTATACTTATAATTATTTTTTACACAAATTTAGTCTTATTTTGAATTTATTTTTATCATCAGATATTGGAGACCTATACAGATAATACCAAATGTTCTGGATGGAGACCAGTTAAGATTAAACATGTATGGAAGATGAACAGACACCCTGAGGTCAGCTGACATCACTGAACAAAATTCTTTTTGAACATTTTTTAAATTTTGTATAGTTTATATACTGTAAATTCAGAAATTATTGTGGTCATTTATTATTGCAATTTTGACATGACAGAGCAAAATGTGAGAATAATTTTTGCTATTACAGAAAAAGCTGCATACAAATTTATGTGTCAGATTTCAGAATGCGAGTTGTTATTATTGCGATACTTGCCCAGTCACATTATTTGCAATAATGAAAACCTCACAATTATTTCTGAATTAACAGTATGTCTCACACTTAGTTTTAATGTAGTCTGCATAATAATTTGAACTTTGGTGAAGATATCCTTAAATGTTGATTAAACCCTTTAGTTATATTACACTTTTAAGCTGACAACAGCAGAAATAGGCAAGACACAGGGCCTTTGGAAGCATTTAAGAAAATTGTAAATATCACTATGTCATAAAGAAAAACATATGCACAATAATATTTGAAAACTCAATGGAACAATTCCAATTTCATCCATGATGCAAAGTGTCAGCTTCCAAACTAATAGTGTCTTGTCTAATGTTTTGTTTACATACACTGAAAACCTTTTCTGAATGTGTGTTTTTTGAAGTATTTCCCTCTATGTATTTTCATCCTTGCTTCTGTTCTTAAAACTTAAATTATTTCTATATGAAGTTTTATTATTAAATGCCATCATTGTGGAAATTGTTGAAAAGTAGAAGTAAAATGAGGATGAATTTCATTAAATTTGTTTGAATATATTTAACAAAATCTATAATTTTTCAGGGAGATAGAGTCAAAGCACATGATAAAATTACCAACAGGAAGTTGTTGTGGCATGGAACAAATGTTGCTGTAGTAGCGGCTATTTTGAAGAGTGGACTACGTATCATGCCTCACAGTGGAGGCAGAGTTGGAAGAGGAATTTATTTTGCCTCAGAGAATGGAAAGTCTGCCGGATATAGTAAGTATTAACAAGATTCATGGTATGGGTATTTCTCATTGTTTAAGGCTGTACAGTTGCTTATAATTGCTTAAATCCACTTCATTTGAACTTTGGTGGATCTCCTTGTTGTCGAGCCTGCAACTTTTGTTGCAAAAGCGAGACATAGCGATCCTACATTCCGTCGGCATCGTCGGTGGCAACCAAAAATATTCACTCTGTGGTTAAAGTTTTTCAAATTTTAATAACTTTCTTAAACTATCCTGCATTTCAACCAAACTTGGACAGAAGCTTGTTAATGATCATAAGATAGTATCCAGAAGTAAATTTTGTAAAATAAAAATCCTGTTTATCCATATTTTACTCATATATGGACTTAGTTTTTCTGCCTGTTAACATAACATTCACTCTGTGGTTAAAGTTTTTCAAATTTTAATAACTTTCTTAAACTATCTTGGATTTGTACCACACTTGAACAGAAGCTTGTTTGTGATCATAAGATAGTATTCAAAAGTAAATTCTGTTAAAAAAAAATCCAGTTTATCCGTATTTTACTTATAAATGGACTTACTTTTTCTGCCAGTTAACATTACATTCACTCTGTGGTTAAAGTTTTTCAAATTTTAATAACTTTCTTAAACTATCCTGGATTTGTACCAAACTTGGACAGAAGCTTGTTAATGATCAAAAGCTAGTATCTAGAAGGAAATTTGTAAAAATTTATTTCCTGTTTTTCCGTATATTACTTATAAATGGACTTAGTTTTATTCCAGTTAACATTACGTACAGTCTGCAGTTAAAGTTTTTAAAACATTTATTAGATTCATAAACCTTCTTGAATTTTTACCAAACTTGAACAGAACTTCTTACAATCAAAAGATTGTATCTAGAGGAAAATTTTTAATAATTTTTTCCCCATTTTTGTTTAGCCTGCGACTAACAGCAAAAGAAGGCGAGACACTGGGTTCCGTGGAACCCTTACAATTTTTATTTATATTAACTGTGCAATTTAACAGTCAAATTGAATTGACTTATTAACATTTTGGATCTCTGTCACCATTTGTATGCAGAGTTGTTAGTGGTTGTCAACGTTAACAATATATTTTCATTTATGGCATTTAAAAAAGTACAGTTTTTAGAATATTCAATTGTCTGCTTTACTTCTTACTTCTCAGTTTTCAATCAAGATGTTTTCTTTTGAATAGTTATAAGATTTATAGTATAAAGAAAACAATCTTACATTGTTTTTGACATAAATATCATTTGGACTGAAATACATTTTATTGGACTCTACGTAGAAAATGAATATAAATGCTCAGTTAACTGATCATTTCAAGTTCAGTTTTTAGTTAAGACCATTCCTTTTGTTTAAGTAAGGATGTTTCTACAGCTTGTTTAACATTTAACTTCAGCACATTTAGAACCATCTGCTCAGAACTTTTTTTTTTTACATACAATAGTATGCACACTTTTAACAGGGGTTAAAAAATCCACTAGCCCGACGCCCGGGACTCACCATTTAGGCCTCGGGCAACCAAAACTTGTAACCCAATATGCCCGACGGACAAGTAACAAAAAATTCTTGGCGTTTCCAAAATAAAAAGTGGAAAATCCACACATCACTATTCTATCTTAGAACAGATTCAGCTACATCATCCAGGATTCCCAGAATTTGAACTGATTTTGTACAAGTTTTAAAATAGAACAAATAACTCGGGGTGGATCCTGTACTTACAATATCGATTTGTCAGTACAGGGGGTATTGTACATTGCTTATGCAACCAGAGAAATATAATGTAACAGGACTGTACCTCCTTCTGAATAATTTATTGCAATATAAATGTGAATCCTTTTTGACAGGAGAAACCTGACTTTTGTCAGATATAAATTTGTAACATGTGCACATGTTATGGACGCCATTTTGTTTTTGTTTACATACTGTGAAGAAGCCTCCAGAACCATGACCTAAACATTAACAGTCTTCAGAAAACTTAAACTTGATGCAATAATATTTCATCAATCATGATTATCTTCATTGATATTCAAATAAATTTGATTTTTAAAGAAATAAAATTTATAACAAATACAATTTCAGTTTACAGACTGTACTCAGTTTGTAATCTCTTTATAGCCCACAATTTGCTTACCTGTGATAAATGAGGGAAGTAATGCCCTTTACTGTCAGGCTCAAGCGGTCATTTACGGCTACCGTTAGCGTCAAATTGGTTAACATTTTAGCGTGATTCGTCAAAATATCCTTATCGTGACTCGTCAGAGGTCTCAAATAATTATCGTTACCGTTATTTTTGGAAAAAATTTAACGTGATTCGTCAAAATCAGTCGATTTTTTTATCCGTTGTACAGTAGATTTTTGCAAATCGGACACCGAAAACTTATGTCAGCAAAAAAATATCCCAGTAGCATGAATAGCAGATATATTCAATTAATCGATAATTGTATATTCTTTGAATATTCTGTAATAATGAGTTGACCAAATCCTGAGATGATACAAGTCTTGACCACTGCTAAAGAAAGTATACATTTTATCGTCATGCACCAAAAATTACCGTTAATGTCATTTGGCAAGATTTTTTACCGTTATTCGTCATGAAGGTACCCTCATTACGAGCCTCATAAATGTAAATATGGATATTACTGTACCTCGTTTATAATGTATCTGATAAAAATCACTCCAATCCTTTTATATAACCATGTATAGCAGTGGTCAAGACTTGTACCATCTCAGGATTTGGTCAACTCATTATTACAGAATATTCAATGAATATACAATTATCGATTAATTGAATATATCTGCTAATGGGATATTTTTTTGCTGACATAAGTTTTGGGTATCCGATTTGCAAAAATCTACTGTACAACGGATAAAAATGGTTAAGTTTATAGAATTCATTGTATTATGCAGCAAACTCTGGATTTGTAAGGCATACTTGGGCTAGCAGGTCAGTTTTGTTGGGCTAGTAGTTCTTCCCACAGGGCTAGTAAAATCCTGCCACCAATTAGCCCTGGGCTAGTGAGCTATAACAAAATTTCTTAACCCCTGTTTTAAGTTAACAGATATTTTTCATATACCCTGTGTCTTGATTGAATGAAATTGAGCATCTTTAATAATTCATCTTTTTATTCATAAATGATTGATTGATTGTTGGTTGCTTAATATGCAGTGGCAAATATTACATGCATGTTCTGGATGATATCGATAAATGAACAATAAAACGGCAGATGTATTTTGATTGTAATAATTTTTGCATAGCTGTGCATCTTTTAATGATTCAACTAACACACACAGTAAACAAGCATTGAAATATTGCTATTGAGGCTAGTTATGATATTGTCAAAGAGACTGACCTAGAGCAGTCTTTTTGATGAAAAATACATAATGACAAAATGAGATATTTTTTTTCTTCAAAGAGTATATTGAAATTTTTTATGTTTATTTAGCTCGACCAGCAGGAAAAAGAGGCATAATGTTTTTGAATGAAGCTATTTTGGGTAAAGAGAAACATATCTCCATGGATGACTCGTCACTAACAAAAGCTCCTAGCGGATTTGATTGTGTTGTTGCTAAAGGATGGACTGAACCAGGTAAAAGTTATTTCCCTTCCTATTACCATGACAGCAAATCAGAACACAAATACATATGTTTAACCATATGCAAATGAGGTGATATTATAGTTGTCAAATGTTAACTCACTAAATCCAGCAGAGAATATACATCTCAAGGTAACGTCTGGCCTTAAGGGCATACGATACAGTTTTGATCCTGTAAAGAAATTTTGATGAAAATTTGCATATAGGCTATTTTTTACCTGATTAAATCAAATACGAATAAAAAATATACCATCATGTGCTACTTTTTGAGTAAATTGAGGTTGAAATTTCAGATATTTCATCAAAATTCAGATTTGTGGACGTATTTTTCCTTTCGACAGAAATACATAACTTTTTTGTTTTAAAAGATAAACTCAAGCTGTTTTTTGTTAAATTATTTGTAATTTCTGTTTTATATAAATGTTCTATAAATTTGTACATTTTATTTTTACAAATAACTCATATTTATCAAATGTTCATGAATGAAGAAAAAAACCGTCATTTTTTGCTGTATATTTATCAAATTTAAAATAATTGCACTATTGACTTATTCATGAAGATTGGTACACATAATCTTCATACGTAATCAAACAAAATGTCATTTTAAAAAAGAAGGGTCCATGAACTGGTTTTCAAGTTAGATCAGTTTGAATGATAAAAATCTTTTCCCGATAAGTCACAGTTTGACGTCGCGAAAATAATAATTTACGTTAGCAACGTCATTACTTCCACTGTAACTGTATCGTATGCCCTTAAACAGTGAGTCCAAGTCAAAACATATGGCTAAGATCTAATATTGGAATAAGTTTTAAGCTATATGAATGCAAGTGATGTCACATATTTTCCATGAAGCGCCAAAGTTCTTCTTGCTAAGAGATGTGCAATGCTAATTGCATATGAAAATTTTGAACTAGTGGTATTTAAGGAAAAAAATGATAACAAGTTTGAAATATCCAAGGGAGAAAATTAGCAAAAGTCTTAAATAGTGGATTCTATTAAATCTAAGAGTGAGAAAATAGTAATAAGTCTAAATTAGTGGAATCTAAGGGAGAGAATGTTATAAGTATCTTAGAGAGAAAATGATAATAAGTTTCAAATAGTGGAGTTGAAGTAAAAAAAATTCGTAAGGGTTCCGCGAAACCCAGTGTCTCGCCTATTTTTGCTGTTAATTGCAGGCTCAACAAAAATGAGGGAAAAAAAATAAAAATATTCCTCTCGATACTATCTTTTGATTGTAAGAAGCTTCTGTCCAAGTTTAGTAAAAATCCACGATAGTTTATGAATCTAATAAATATTTTAAAAACTTCAACTGCAGACTGTATGTAATGTTAACTGGCAGAAAAACTAAGTCCATTTATAAGTAAAATACGGAAAAACAGAAACATAATTTTCTTCTAGATACTAATTTTTGATCATAAACAAGCTTCTGTCCAAGTTTGGTACAAATCCAGGATAGTTTAAGAAAGTTATTAAAATTTTAAAAACTTTAACCACAGAGTGAATGTAATGTTAACTGGCAGAAAAATTAAGTCCATTTATAAGTAAAATACGGAATTTTTTTTTTACAAAATTTACTTTTGGATACTATCTTATGATCATAAACAAGCTTCTGTCCTAGTTTGGTAGAAATCCAGGATAGTTTAAGAAAGTTATTAAAATTTGAAAAACTTTAACCACAGAGTGAATGTAATGTTTCCTGGCAAAAAAACTAAGTCCATTTATAAGTAAAATATGGAAAAAATGGAATTTTTTTTTACAAAATTTACTTCTAGATACTATCTTATGATCATAAACAAGCTTCTGTCCTAGTTTGGTAGAAATCCTGGATAGTTTAAGAAAGTTATTAAAATTTTAAAAACTTTAACAACAGAGTGAATGTAATGTTTCCTGGCAGAAAAACTAAGTCCATTTAGAGGTAAATTATGGAAAAAATGGAATTTTTTTTTTACAAAATTTACTTCTGGATACTATCTTATGATCATAAACAAGCTTCTGTCCTAGTTTGGTAGAAATCCAGGATAGTTTAAGAAAGTTATTAAAATTTGAAAAACTTTAACCACAGAGTGAATGTAATGTTTCCTGGCAAAAAAACTAAGTCCATTTATAAGTAAAATACGGAAAAATGGAATTTTTGTTTACAAAATTTACTTCTAGATACTATCTTATGATCATAAACAAGCTTCTGTCCTAGTTTGGTAGAAATCCTGGATAGTTTAAGAAAGTTATTAAAATTTTAAAAACTTTAACAACAGAGTGAATGTAATGTTTCCTGGCAGAAAAACTAAGTCCATTTAGAGGTAAATTACGGAAAAAATGGAATTTTTTTTTTACAAAATTTACTTCTGGATACTATCTTATGATCATAAACAAGCTTCTGTCCTAGTTTGGTAGAAATCCAGGATAGTTTAAGAAAGTTATTAAAATTTGAAAAACTTTAACCACAGAGTGAATGCCGACGCCGTCCCAACGGAATGTAGGATCGCTATGTCTCGCTTTTTCGACAAAGTCGAAGGCTCGACAAAAATGATAAAAAGTCTGAAATAGTGAATTCTAATCTAAAGGAGAGAAAATGATAATAAATCTGAACTAGTGGAATGCAAGAGAGAGAAAATGTTATAAGTATCTTGGGGAGAAAATTATAATAAGTTTGTTTCTCAGCTTGCCCTATGAATAATTGTGTCAAAAAATGTTTAAATTGAATTATCACAGTTAACTTCATAACAACATCAGTGTATATATAACTGTACTTTATATATAGTTGATCTTAAATGGATTTGGCTATTAATTTTAGGTCTGTTTTAGTCAAATATCTCTTCAACTGTTTTGGTTCTTATACATCCTTGGCTTTTAAATGTTCGGCTTTGAGTGTTCCTGATGAGGATAAATCCAGAAAAGCGCTTCGGAGGCTTGAAATTTATAAAGTGTTGTTTTCATTCCTCATAACTTTGTTATAAGTTAATACATATTTTATTTATTACAGATCCATCAAAAGACACATTTTTAACATTAGATGGAAAAAAAGTAATCGTACCACAAGGCAAGCCTATCAACCAGAGTACATTCGCAAACAAAAGCAGCTTCAGCCAGAGTGAATACTTGGTCTACCAAGAAAACCAAGTAAGAATGAGATACATCTTTGAAATGGAAATGTAAGACGTGAAAAGGACAAGCTTTTTTTCTTTAACATGTAGAAATGTGAGATTTCCTTGGAATATCGTTTCTATATTTTACCACATAGACAGGTGTTGGTTTTTATTTAGTTACAGAACCTAAGGAATGTGAGAGATTACATTATTGTATTTTGTTTTATTAGAGGTACTAATCATATGTATACAAGATAGATTGTTAAGTTGTGTTAAGACTCGTTATGAAACAATCAGTTATTTGTTATGTTTGTTTGGTAGTACATTTATTAAAAAATTTATTATTATTTTTTTTATTTTAATTATATTTTACTCCATGAACAATCAGCTGTTGGATTTATTCAAAGTATTGGTTGTTAATTTAATAGTTTTTGGTTGTTATTTTATTCAAAGGTAGCTGTAAATTTCTGCCTTATATTTTAACTTAAGTCACTGTATTTTATCCAGTATTCTTTCTACTAGAGAAGAAAACAAAGAAAATCCTCATTATTTTTTGTTGTATGGTGTAATTTATAAATTAATTTGTGCAATAAGATAAATACACCCCCTTCCAAAAAAAAAATTAATTGATAAGAAAAAAAGATAACAATAGAAATAAAAGAATTATTGAATAAAAAATAAATGTATAGGCCTGGTTTAAATCTATTAATGAATATAATTTTTGTCTTTGAATGTATAAAGAATGAATATTGTTTTGTTAAGATTCATTTTCTGCTGAGTAAATATTTGACTTTTGTACATGAGTTTTACATATATACTTTACTGTGTTAGTTTTAGACAAAAAGTTACGTTTCCATTCATTGATAACATTGAAATATCAAAAGTGTTTGACACAATGATCCTTACAGGATCGGGAGTGAATGAGTTATTTCCCCTTTTAAAGGAATATTACTTAAATGAACCTAGTTTTGCTATTGTAATTTAGATAGGTAAACAGGATGCCTGTAGAAATTCCTTAAATATGCAAGAGTATTTTTTTTTCATGTATCCATTTGGAAATGTATTTTCTCTTAATCCCTGAATAGATGCACCATTTTTCTTTTTATTATGTATTTGTGAAGTTTTCATTAACAAACATGAAGGATGTTTATATATATATATATAACCCCGTATAGATGTATAATCTATAGATTCTGCTTCATCAAAAAGTGGCTGTGTTAACTGAAATAGGAAAACAATGATCTGTGATATTCTGCTGCCAAAGGGAGATAATTGTTGTTTTACTTAAAAAGTCTTTAAATAAATCAAAAAAAAATTGATTAAAATGAATGTCCAATATTCCCTAAAAGATTAATAAAATAAAAAATGAGAAAAAAAATATTAAATCTAAATAGGAGATAAAAATTCACTAATAAGTACATAATCAAAAATAACAAAACGATAAGTGTAGCCAAATTTAATGGACAGTCTAATAATGAAAAAGCAGAACTTTTTGTTGCTAACAAAGAATTTCAAATTTTGTTTGACGAAACTACTCTGCCTACTGTAAATAGATTTTGAAAGAGATTCAAATTAATGGAACAGAAATGGAATCAACAAATTTATATGCAACATAAAAAAAGAAAAATGACTTTTTATGATAATAATGATTACTCCCTTCTGGCAGAAGATTCTGTTTCAGTCATACTCTGTATGGAGATGACTGGCTCATCGGGAGCTGTGATTTTTGAGTACACTTGTACCCCCACACATGTTTCATGTTTATTTTGCACTATTTGTTAAATTTCTGTTTGATTCACAAGCAGTGTATTGTAATTGGTGTACAACGTAAACCTAATTCAGACTTTGTAAAGTAGGAATGTTTTTAATATATCAATTTATTAGATTATAGATATATAATCAAAAAAAAAAAATGGATAGAGTAGACACATTGTTGTATTTTTTATATGGTCTTAAGGTTAAGATTTGTTATTCATGGGAGGGTATTTTAGTCAAGACCTATAAAAATAAATTTTTACCAATTATAATTATAATTCTGAAAATATTTTTAAAAACACTATTTGACATTTATTTTAAAAAAATGAAGATGTGAATGTTATATTCACTTTTATATCTTTTATTCCTCCACAAATCATGAAAACCCTATCAAATATTAATCATCTTATTGTATCTCATTATTAACATATCATTGTGTAAGACCAATTTCATTTATTATGAAAATCATCCATATGTTTTCAAATTGCACTTCAATTTATTTACAAGTTGCTTCTGATATGGATATGATAATAAATAAGCTTTATTCAAAAAGAAGAGAAATTCTATTTTTTAATTGTGCTTAATGAAAAGTTGAATGCACTGTTCAAATATAAACTCATAAAAACAAAGATTTGTTCCTGAGTTTTGAAAAAGTACATTTCATGCAAATTGGAAGAAATAACAGTATGCACTTGTATTGCATTACACATGACATCAACATTTTGTTGAAATAGCTTGTAAAAACTTGAAACACAGTCTATGAGTATTATTGATTTTATAGTTTTTATCATAGTAATTTTTATTGAAATTTATAAAAATCAAATAAATTCTGGATTTCAATGGTAAAAATATATTTCATCATAGCAAAACACTGCCATGGAGTTAGATAGTTTATATTTATTGACACAATTTGAGCAAGAGTTATTTCCCTTTTGTCATAATATTGGTGGTTAAAGTGCACAAATTCCTTCATAAATCAGCCAAATTCAACTTCTTATACTGATTGCTAGACTTTAGAAAAAGTTGTTTTCTGAACAATTTTGATTTATTTAAGCCTTGCTTAGAAAGGATTTCTTATCAGACTAATTTGTACCACATGTTTCAGTTTGATTAGTCAAATAAAAAAATCAATCAGGTACACCTTTAACATTATGGCCAAGGGGAATAACTCAGACTACGTTATATTGAAACCTATTTATTTCATCACACCTCATGTAACTTCACATTTTAACCTTTTTTATCATAAATCTCAACAAACTTTTGTATCACATTTTTTATATATATATATATATGTAATAAGTATGTTCATGAAGGGCAATTTAGTATTCCAAATGTACTGGGAATGCAGGTCTTTAGTGTAACTTGATTTTCTGTAACTCATTCACAACCATGTCTTGGTGATCATTTATCCATTTAGCATCAAATTTTTCTTCATCAATTATTTTATGTTTTTTGTATGTTTTACTTTAGAATTTTTTGTTCATGAATGTATAAAGGGCTGCTTAAATATGAATGAAAATGCTTTTTAAAAGACATTATTACAAATAAAGTTTTTAGTGCCATTTTTGAATATGATCATTTTTAACTGTTGATTATTTGACTAGATCATAACAGTAATTATAAAATTGTAGATCATTTCATGATTTGAGACAAGAATTACATCCAGGTCATTTTGTCTCTGGTGGAAAGTTGTCTTATTGGCATTCATACAACGTCTCCTTATTTTTGTACCGAGTCAATCACATTTATTTCAGGTTTAATCCTATATATTTCCACTTTTAATTTAATCCAAGTATAAAAAATTTAATTTTATTTTTCCGTGTTTTTTTTTTTAATTGTTGGGTTGCTGTTTTATAGACGTTTATCCCATATATTCTTTATTTTACATGCATTGTGTTTTATTGCTTTTACTCAAGAAATTTAAATTAAAGAAATGCTGCTCATTAAAATCACTCACAAATACAAAATAAATCATTATTTCATATTATGACAGTTGTTGATTTGTTGTTTGTTTTGTAAGAATTGTGTTCGTGTATTTGTGTGTTTAAATGTCAGTTTTATTCAATTAGAAGTACATTATTATTATGACTACTGATTTTAGAATCAGAGCAATGTAAATTCAGATATTTTTGTGTGCATTTATAATTACTATTGTCGAACAAATGACACAAATGTTTGATTAATTATTACAATTTCAGCATATTTTTCATGCATATTATGCTTTCAAATTAAGAATGCAAGCTTTTTCTTTTGCAAAACCTAGCCTGTCACAATTCTTGCAATAATAAAAATATGGCAAAAATTTCTGAATTTACAGTAATTGTTGAATTGATTTAATGAATAGTTTACTAACAAGCATCACCCTCTTGTGGCTGTTTATATACTCACTCACACTTTCCCGTGTTTTTGATTGCAAAAATCTTGACATGAATAAATAATTTAGTTTTTAGTTTTGTGTGATTTTCTTATACATGTAGTAAAAAAAAGTATATCAAGAATGCTATGGTTTCCTTGAGGATTTTATCTTGCCTTGACAGAGTCAAAAAGCGAGACTAAGCTATGATGTTTCCAAAGCCAGTGGTGTTGGTGGTGTCAGCGGCATCTGCATCGACTTCAAAAATATATTAGTTTGTGAGGTCAGTTTATGAGGAACCACTAGTGGTAGGTCAATGATATTTGGTATGCAGATGTATTATCATTAGCACATTTCTTTTCCATGGAGATGATTTGGCCCTGCCCCCTCAGTTATGGTCTATTGACTTTGAATCTTTTGCTTTCTTAACATGTATAAGCTTGGGATTAGGTCAGTGAAAGGGGAACCACTAGTGGTAGGGCAATGATATTTGGTATACAGCTGCATAAGCATTGGCACATTTCATTTCCATGTAGATTATTTGGCTCCCCTCTCAGTCATGGTCTATTGACTTTGAATGTTTTGCATAGTTTACATGTTAGAGTTTGTGATTATATCACTTTAAGAGGAACCACTTATGTTAAGTCAATGATAGTATTAGCATTTGCAAGTTTTCTTTTCCATGGAGATTATTTAGCCCCACCCCTATCAGGGTTCATTGCCTTTGAATTTTTTACATTTTCAAGTTAAAGTTTGTATAGAGTTTAATAAGCATAGTCATTTTTAATTTTCATGGAGGTTTTTTGGTCATGCACCTTAAGTCATGGTTTATTGACTTTGAATGTTTTGCATAGTTTACATGTGTATAAATAATGCCATTTGGATTAAATATTTGCATGATACTATTTAAATCACAATAAGGTGAGACATATCTCTGTGTCAACTGTTTATTAATGATAAAAATGTACCAGATTACATTAGAATTTGCAGGAATTTGCTTTTTTAGCTCACAGGCCCAAAGGGCTGGTGTGAGCTTTTACCATCACTTGTCATCCAGCAGCTGTCTTCGTGCTCAGACAAGATCTACAAATAAATCTCATGTCTGAAATCATTAGTCAGCTCCATATTGGAGTATTTGCCCTTTAATGAAGATTTTTACCATTTTTGTTTTTGTTTTTGCCTATCATTATTGAAACTAATAATAAATAGAGAGAATTTTAGAGAGTTAAAATGACCCACAAGGCAAGATCTACACATAAGTTGATACTTCTGAAATCATTGGTCATTGATCGGTGGCCGAGTGGTCTAAGTAGTCGAACTACTGTATCACTAGCCAGTCAACACTGTGGTTGTGATTTCGAATCCCGCACATGCCAGGTACGCTCGCCTCTAATCTTAATTGACCAGGATTGTTAGTTTTTGTACCAAAGGTCAGTGGTTCTCTCCAGGCACTCCGGCTTCCTCCACCAATAAAAAATGTCCGCCCCCAAATAACACAATAGTGTTGAAAGTGGCATTTAACACCAATCAATCAATATTTTTTTTGTATGAGTTCGTGATTGTAAATGTTGATTTTTACCATTTTTTTTGTGTTTTTATATGACCGCAAAAATTTTGGGCGGTCATATTTTGGTATCACGTTGTCGTCAGCATCAGCGTTGTCCGAAGACATTTGGTTTCTGGACAATAACTTTAGTTTAAGTGTATGGATCTCTATGAAATTTAACCAAAAGGTTCAATACCACAAAAGGAAGGTTGGGATTGTTTTTGGGGTGATGGTCCCAACCGTTTAGGAATTAGGGGCCAAAAAGGGGCCAAAACAAGCATTTTCTAGTTTCAGGACAATAACTTGTGTATAAGTATTTTGATTGCTCTGAAATTGTACCACAAGGTTCACTACCACAAGTAGAAGGTTGGGATTCATTTCTGGGGTAATTGCCCAAACTGTTCAGGAATTAGGGGCCAAAAAGGGTCTAAAACAAGCATTTTTCTAGTTTTCAGACAATTACTTGTGTTTAAGTGTATGGATGTCTCTTAATTTGTACCACATTTTACAAAAAGAAATTTTTTTGGAAAAGGGAGGGGGTAATTTTTTTTTTTGGGGGGGGGCAATTTTTTTCCTCATAAGAAAATTCTCTTCAAATGTTATTCTTTTTTGGAGGGGGGTAAAAAAAAATTGGGGGGGGGATCATTTTTTTTGCCTCAAGATTTAAGAAATTGTCAATTTTCCAAAGAAAAAAATTGGGGGTCACAATTTATTTTGCTAATTCTTTGTATATAGTCTGAAAACAGATTTACTAAGTATTGCACAACAGCACAGTGTATTGCACTACAGCAAGAAATCTTCAATTGCATATAAATTCAAATCATACATTTCGATTTTGGACAATAACTTTAGTTTAAGTGTATGGATCTCTATGAAATTTAACCAAAAGGTTTTATACCACAAAAGGAAAGGCGGGATTGTTTTTGGGGGTGATGGTCACAACTGTTTAGGAATTATGAGCCAAAACAAGCATTTTTCTAGTTTCAGGACAATAACTTGTGTATAAGTATTTTTATTGCTCTGAAATTGTACCACAAGGTTCAATACAACAAGAAGAAGGATGAGATTCATTTTGGGGGTAATTGCCCAAACCGTTCAGGAACTAGGGGCCAAAAAGGGTCTAAAACAAGCATTTTTCTAGTTTTCAGACAATAACTTCTGTTTAAGTGTATGGATGTCTCTTTATTTGTACCACATTTTACAAAAAGACAATTTCTTCAAAATTAATTTTTTGGGAAAAGGGGGGGGGGAGGGGGAGGGGGTAAAACTTTTTGTTTTTTTGTTTTGTTTTTGTAGACCTATAATGTCGGAGAGCTTGCAAAATGTTCTATCGGACAAAACTGGTTTACTGATATTTTGTTTTCTATTTAACATATATATATATTTACACTGCTTTAATATGTCAGTGCAAAAGGTTTTTTATAACCAATTTGTAATGTTTTAAGAAGTAACATTTTAGCAATTTAAATTGTATAAGGTCTGCACGAAACAGCTATATAGATATTGTACAAAAAAATTAAAAGGCAACATTGATTACAATTTTCGATAGCAAAATCCTTATTTATGAACGTTTGTTGATGCACACAACAAACGATGTACAACTATAATGATTCCCCTTTAATACTGATGGTGAATAATTTTTTACACCAATTTATACAATCTGTTTTCTCGACGAACCTCCATCGTCGACATGTCAACCAACATTAAACGTTGAAACAACATATTTACTTCAACATTAAAATTTGAACTAAAATTCAACGTTGAAACAACTTACTTTCTGCAACATAACTTCGATGTTGCTGTTACAACGTTGAAACAACGTTGAAGCAACGTCATGACAAAATATCAACCACATTTCAACGTTGAAATGACGTTGCGTGCCGGGTGGGAGGTCTCCTTTTAAAAGGTACCATCTCAATTCATTAGCCTTACTTCTTTAAAATTTTGGTTTCATTGTAGGAGAATGATAATCCGGAGACAGCTTCGAAAAAATAACGAATCTGTCAATACACAATCAGTATTTTTTTGTCTGGATTAGAGTGGAATGTTTTAGGAATCACATCGTCTGTTTTTTGTCTGTCCCTCACCTCATATTTGTGTCAAAACGAACAATTTTCTGCAATGCATAAGTTGACAAGGGTGTATGAATACCAGTTTGTCTTTTTTTTCCTGTCTGGCATCAGCTCCATCTCCCTTTCCAAAAAAATCACGACTTATCATAGTGTAAATCCTGCTTTGACAAAAGTCTTACTTCCCAGAAAGACTTCTAATAAAATTGTAGCCCATGACTCAAATATATCTTGTCAAATATAACACCAAAAAGATACATTGAAGTAATATTCTAGATCTATGGATCAGTGCAACATATTACTTAAACAAATAGAACTAGGATATACCAACGATACATTCAAACATTATAAGTCGAAGAAAAACAACACCATGGCAAAAACAAAAACATAATACAACAAGAAGACGAATAAGTCGTCCACAAAACACTACATAGAAAACTAAAGATAAAGCAACACGAACCCCGTCAAAACCAGGGGGTAATCTCAGGTGCTCTGAACGGGTAAGCAGATCCTGCTTCACTAATGACAACCGTCATGTACAAAATAAGTATGCAGAAAAGGTTACTGTACTATATGAGCTTCATCGAAAAATTTTAAATACAAATGATAATTAGAGTGTGTAAATCAAGGCAACACATGGAATGACAAATAGAGCCAATTTTACTAGACGGAGTTGGAACCTAAATCACTGTATTTCTATGTAATACAATGAGGCTTTCAATCAGCAATACATCAGTGCCGGATATCTTCATAAAGAGTTGATTATATAACCGCATGAACTACAGTCGTGAGAATAGTGTGTTACCGTCTGTAGTCCCTAGGACTTATCAAGAGAACTTTTTTCTCTTTATCTGGTCTACATACTAGTAGTCTTACTTCAAAAAGAAATCTTTAAAGGTCAATATAGTCTTAAGAGTCCGGGTGCGGGATTTTCTCGCTGTGTTGAAGAGCCATTGGTGGCCTTGGGCTGTTTTCTGCCCTTTGGTTGGGTTGTTGTCTCTTTGACACATTCCCCGTTTCCATTCTCAATTCTATTTAGTAGGCCTATGCAAATAATTTCTAAACGAAAAAAAAGTAAAACAACGCTCCAGTCGTGTTTCAGATGAATCAAACTAACTAAAACAATAAACACACATATACACACGAACGCACGCATGACTTCACAACTTCACAAATTCGGATTATGATTTTATCATAATATATATTATTGGGCGTTCCTGATGATGATAAATCCAGAAAAACGCCTTGGACGTTCCAAATCTATAAAGCGTTATTTTAATTGTCCATCAACAATGCACCCAGAAAAATAAGGACAATGTTCTAAACAATCAAATTAGCTTAACACCCAGCTATTCTTTAAGTTAAAGAATCTAGCTGGGTGTTACAGTAAATGACTATTTTCCATCAAATTTCAACAGGTGGGTTCACTCATACTACCATTCCTTACCCTAGCTAAATCTGAGAATAGAAATAAGAAAAAGCCTTTTACCAACTTAAATTACGACTTTTTTTTCAAATCTTTTTTTTTAATCATTGAAAATATCACACTCACTAAAATCCAAGATTGTCATTGCCAACATTCGCACATCGAATATGATATTATGACAATCTGACTGATATAAATATGTTGCTTAATTTAAGACACAGGTTGCAAGTTTTTCTCTAACCATGAAGTTGATTTAAGAGTCAGAAAATCAAATAAAATAATTATGTATATCATATTTGTACTAATTTACTTCATTGTTGTTATTCAGCACGAATCAAAAGACCAAGAAATGAGGTTCTTGGATAATTGTCCTCACTGTAGAAATAATGTGGACTACCATAACCAGTTGTTCTTATCCAAGCGTGGCCATCTTTCTTCATTCTATATATCGCAGTCATTGATGCTGACATATAACTAACAGAGTCAGCATCTCTCTCTCCCGTAGATGTGATGATTTCATCCTCTACTACCAATTCCGTCATGACACGGCTGGCACCACTAGATGATACAGTCCATGAAAATAAATATATACCATCACGTGGAGCAACAAATACACCATCATAGTTGTTGTAATGACTGCCTTCATTTATGACAATAGTGTCAAACACCACTGTAGATTCTGTTTCTAAATTGAAAGATCGACTTTTGATTATTGCGAAGAACATAACCGCATCTTCCTTTTTATCTAAAAAAAAACAACCAAAAAAGAAATTATTTTTTCTAAGCAATTACAAATATTTGAATTTTAATCACACTGATGCTTAACACTGTTTTCCTTTCATTTTGTGGCAACTAATAGCTATTTTTCTTAACCTACGAGGCAGACTAGATATATGTAATAAAGTGATACACTTTTTAAAAATATGTTATAATCCTACCTACTGTATTCTTGGACAGACCACATTGACTCTTGATTGGTTTTGTTATGTCAAATTGTTTTATATTACATTTTAATAGATTTTCGATATCAATAAAATGATCTGGGCTGTATAAATCAATGAGACAGCAGCCCTACGATACAAACAAATCAAAACAGGTATGTGAAGACGATAGAAGCTTAAGAAAGGTAAAATCCATTAAAACTTGGACAATGACTTTTTTTTCCAAAATTGTCATGGAAAGCCTGTCAAAAACAGGAAAATCGACACTACAAACATGCAAACATATGTAGGACGGAAAAGGGTAAATGTAAGAGACCCGGGTCTCACCCATAAATTGGAACGTAAAATTTTAAAAAATCATTGTTAGTATCATAATTACCGTATCTCTAACATGAATGAAAATAAAGACAAACGATAAATACGCTATGTATCTGGAATATATTATTTGTTTTGGTGACTGTATATCTGAACTTGCTTCAGATTACTACGGGTCGTCTGCTGTATGTGAAAAGCGCTCGGAATGGAAATGTAACGGATTATGTTGCAGGGAGTATACGTATGTATACGCTGGAATGTCTTTCAAATATAAACTCATCAACCACAAACAAAAAGTTTCCCATTTTGATAAAAAAAAAATCTAACCTTTTTCTTCAAGACATGTCCCAATAATCAATTCTATACACTAAGGGGATTATTTTTTCAATCTACTTTTATTTTAAAATCATATATTTGTGTAAATATTCGCTATAAGCAGCATCAATGAAATGTGATTCTTAGATATTCAAAATATTAACTTGCGTGTATGTGTATTCAATCGGTGAATTGTTTTTAAATTATAAGAAACAAATGTCACATCAAGTATCATATGAAATAAATGCTAAAGCAGTGGTAAATAAAAAAAATATAATTTTAAGAAAGAACGATATAATCATGTCGTCAGTTCGCCTTGAGTGCGGGAGGATGTGTGTTTTAATTGCTGGAAAGGTCAACAACAACTAAAATGATGTTCATAGCTTCTATGTTGAGGAAGCAAAGTTAAGGAGTAAGAGCAAATACTGGTCGACAGAATAATTTCTGCCTATAGAATTAAAACATGTGTATTTTTCTGGACTGGTACCCTGTGAGCTAGCATGAATACAACACGTTTTGGGAAAAGATGAAAATTAAAAAGTAATCATAACAATAATGATTACTGAAAGTAAATTAATAAAATAAGATAAGTAAAGGACCAACTTATTCTAATACAATAACTAATAAAATTATTTGGTCGTACATATGATATGTAAATTGTGTATAACTGTAAAAGTGTATTCCTATTTTTGTTTGGTAACATTTTATACAAAACGGGAATACATTGAGAGTATCTCCACTGACTGTTAATGGTTTACTGAGCGATAGGAAATGCACATATACAATAATTTACACAATTGTAATGCTTGAAAAAAAATGGACCTATGAACTTAGTAACATTTCTGGGGTCAAATATATTTGAAAAAGGGATATGAATGAACAGTTCCCAATCTAGTGAAAATTAAATCTCTGCAGAGATTTAATTTTAATTAGATTAGAACAGATCCGTTTATAACATATATTATTCAATGTTTCCATCAAATATCAACTTAGGTGAAGCAAACACTGCAAAGGCAGCAATTACAAATAATTGCAAAATTTGGTTGATGACAGCAATAAATGAAACTGCCGTGTTTTTCAAATAAAAAAATGACTTATCACACGATAATATGGGGTACTCAAACAACAGGATTTAGAATATAGCAAAGTGCTCTCGACCAATGAAAGTGTAGAATTTGGTGTTCCTTCATTGTGAAGAATGAATGTAAATCAGTTCAAAACAAAGAATGTCTATAAATGAGTAACAACTGCATGAAGCACATTTATTAGGATAATTGATTGAAAGTTGAATTTTGAAACAAACAAAAATGATCAAAATAAGTTTGAAGTTAACTTGTACAGTACAATTGATACCGTTTGTGTTATCATGTGAATATTTAGAACTTTCAAATTACCAAAAAATAAGCAATATGAAGAAGAAAAAGAAAAAATAATTAAAATCAAATATAACCTAAATCTTTAGTTACATGTATACGCTTATCAAAACTCAGATAACTGTATTCGCAGTTAGTAAGAATAGTCATTTCCAAAATACCGGTACATACAGGAAATTGAATTTACTTTTGAATTTGCTATAAAAAGCTATTTCTTACAAAATTTAAATTTTAGTTAATTAAGTAGTATTTAATGTAAAGAGCTGGAATAAAATTGGCTGTGGAATACAATTTAGTTGTAACTCTGATTTTGAATTTATTAAATTGAACTGTAAATAAACAAAAAGATAATTCCTCACTGACATATTACATAATTTACACTCATACTCACAATTTGGAAACTTATACAATTTCTACAATTTCATTGTAACGTTGTGTCATCTAATGTCTAAAACACAATTTATTAAAATTTCCCAAATTAAAAGTAAGTCCTTACATCACTAAGACCAATACATAAATGAAATGCCTAAAAGGGAAGTCATCCATTAATTATAAACATTTCACTGACAATGAAACAAATTCTTGAATAAAATCAATCAAGAGATCATTTGAGCCTTGAGCACTTTACAATATTCTAAGTTTGTAAGAGAATGATAATCCCTCTCATCGTGATAAGTACTCGCTAACGCTTGTACTTTATCATGAAGAAAGGAATTATCATTCTCTTACATATACGAATACAGTTATAAAAATTGTTTCTGAAATAGAAACTATGAAGTATAACAATAGAACTGGGGTGTAATGAAGTATTAGAATATAGCAAAGTACTCTCGACCAATGAAATTGTAGGATTGGATGCCTCTTAATTGTGAAGAATGAATGTAAATCATGTTCTTAGTAAGGGATTATCCTATTATTTGGGTCTATTTACAGTTCAAAACAAAGAGTTTCTATAAATGAGTTACAACTGCCCTGAAGCACATTTATCAGATTGAAAGAATTTATCACAGAGTGATTGAAACTGACTAAAAGTTGAATTGTGGAACAAACAAAAATCTCAAAATAAGTTGAAGTTCACTGGTGCAGTAAAATTGGTACCATGAATGTTATTATGAAAATATTAATAACTTCAAATTACTATAAAATTAAACAATACCAAAGCAATGCAAAAAAAAAGGAAAAAAATCTTTCAGATAAAAAATAACCTAAATCTTTAGCTTTCCAAAACTTTGATTACTTGATCAGAGGTTGGGGAGAATAGTTATTTCCAATACATGTATTCCGATAAAAAAAAACATGAATTTAGTTTTGAACATATTAAAAACTTTTAAGGGCATTATTTTTGAACATTTCCCTGACATAATGAAACAGTATTTGATGTAAAAAGCCGGACCAAATTATTGGCTGTGAAATAAAATTTAGTTGTAACTCAAATGTATTAATTGATTTAAACTGTAAATAAAAAAAGGATAATTCCTCACTAAAATATTACATGATTTACATTCATACTCACAATCAGGAAACATACAATTCCTACCTTTTCTTTCTACTGTTGTGTCACCTAATATCTATAACGCATTTTTTAAAAATATTTCCCAAATGATAAGAAAGTCCTCACATCACTAAAACTAATCCATAAATGACATGCTGAAAAAGGAAGTCATGCATCAATTATAAACATTGCACTGACAATAAAACTAATGGATAGATCATTTGAGCCTTGAGCACTTTACAATATTCTAAGTTTGTAAGAGAATGATAATCCCTTACTTCATGATAAGTACTCGCTAACGCTCGTACTTATTCATGAAGAAAGGGATTATCATTCTCTTACATATACTAAATACTGAAAATTGTTCACCTCATTAAAAAAGTTATTTAAGAAAGTAAGAGATTAGTATTACATCTCAATTCACTAAATTTATACATTTTCAGGCGAATTATTGTGACAGTTTTTCACGAAGAAACACGTAAAAAGAAAAAAAATGTACTTTATTAAGCCTTTCACATTCTCGAGACAGAGAGGTAAATAAGTTAAATAGGCAGAATGTCCCAACATTAAGTTGCAAAATATGGTTAAATGTATGTTTTAGCAAAATCCTTGAATTATATATCATATTTAATGCAAAAAAAAACAAAAAAAAACAACCCAGACCAACCAGTCTCTTTATCTTATATAGTAGTAAACTCCAATACAGCTAATACAAAATTTGACGTTACGTTTATGTTCATACTTGTCATTGCGGGTCACATATGTTTGTAACCTTTTGTGTGGTTTCAGTATGAACTATGTAGGCGAGTGACATTTTTTCAAAAAGCCTTTTAGTTAAGGACTTTAATGCACCCCCTTACACACGGCTGTTTTATATATCACTCGAAAACTTATTATCTGTACTTTCTGTTTTGAACGGTCGTGAAAAAAAATCGTACGGTGCGATTTCCGTTAAATCAAAGTCAAAGGTCAAGAGTAAACATTCTAAATTTTTGCGATATTTTCTGGTTCTTGTTTGATAAATTTATCCGAAATATCATATACACCGAATAGAACAGGATACAGTAATTCCAAATCAAACAATATTTAAGAGATTAAATACGCAATAGTACCGACAATTGCAATTCTTAACAAATCCTTTCAAAAATGGAAATAAATGCTCTAAAAGCAAAATAATTATATGTTGGGGGATTGTATGCTCAAAAATCAAAATTAAATGTATGTTTTTTTTTTGTCAAGGAATTTTTTTTTTCATAATTCTAAGATGCAATTAATATATATTGTGCTTGGAACAGCCTTGTTGAAACGACATTGTTAGTAGTTGTGTTACTAAATATATGAAAGGTTGAATATCCTTCCTAACCACATAAGATCATTCTCGGTTTAGGTAGTGTTCGTTTTTACATTCCGGTGCTGTGTTTTGTGGACTGTTGTTTGTCTGATGGCTTTTTCTTTTATTTTGGTCATGGTGTTATCTTAGTATTTTTGATTCGTGGTTTGCGATTGTTCTCTTGGTATTTTACTTTAAAGACACTTAGCTGCAGCAGTGAAAATCGTCAAAAAAATCGCCTCACGGTAAAGAAAAGAGGACAAAACTTGAACGCATTAAAAAAATGTCCGACAAAATAATTTAATTTGATCACGGTGATATATAACCAATTCGTAATCATGATAAATTCAACCACAATTTTTAAAATTTTCACTACTAATAGCGAGGCGAAATATATCATACGGACATCCAAACTTATAAGTTAAAAATAAACTGACAAAGCCAGGGCAAAAAACCAAAAATCTACCAAGAAAACAAACAACATTATACAAACCACAACATATAAAACTAAAGACGGAGCAACACAGACCCAAACAAAAACTAAGGGTGAATTCAGGGGCCCAGGAAGGGTAATCAGATCCTGCTATACACGTGGCAGCCGTCGTATAGCTCATGTAAGTACTTAACCGGAAATAAGTCTAATTAGGTAGACCACATTCAAGGCAGAGAGGACGGGATTGTGGTTACAACAATTGGAACATATCCGTCTTCATCTATGAATCTGATGTTCCATAACGGTAAACAAACTCGTAATGGCGTCCATGAAATTTTCGAAGGGATGATTTCAACTTCACAATTTGAACACTGGTTTAATAGCTTCCTTGTGAGCAGCAACCTTTTATCAAGGGAATCATGCAAGTAAATGCAAGCTCTGGAATATCGTATCAACTGGGAGATATATTCTACATGTTCTTTTTCAATTGGTGCATTCGAATTGTTGTTTTTGATTAACCTCCATCGGTAACTCTCAAAACCAAAATTATGAAAGCGAAGGATGTTTAACTACTGGAATACATGCGGAGATTTATGACCAATAACATAAAAGAATATATTTGAGATCAATTTTGTTTAACATGTTTAAGGGAGTTGGGACTTAAGTTTCTTAATAATCTATAAATTCATCAACAGAGAACTAAAGAAAGCTAAGATAAAAAATGAAAGTCAATGTAACTGCAAAATGTCAAAAAATCAGTTACTTGAAAATTACATATTACCATAAGGTTTCTTACTAGGAACAAACATACAGATCATTGCAATGTCTAGTAATTGATGATTTTAACACCTTTTATGCTATCGATGAATTTATGCATTTAATCAATGAACAAAGTCGTTTAAGCAGCCAAGAAGACACGTTTTCTAATTTTTATAAGTACATGTATATTCTTTGAAATTTCACTTTTTGTTAATTTTCGTTGATTTTTTATTCATTTATGTCTATATCTTTAATTTCTTTTTTAATTGGTTATTTTATAAAAAGTCGTTTAATCTATATCAATGTCTATTACAAATCAATCAATATTTTAGTCTAGCAGTTACAATGCACATTGAAATATCGAAGTTTCGCCCCCTTAATTACCAGCAATAGCATGATGCCCGCATATACGTTTTTCCTTTAAATATTTACACATTCGTAAGAATTTTGTTTTTGCTATCTTATAATGACTACATACAATTTTTAAACGGAAGAAATGCTAAACAGCTGTGTTTCCGCAGATGACGGTGTTTTTGGGCAACTGTATGAGTTGTCATGATTATCTGTTTGATTAGAAAGTAGGCATTATCATAGGTAATTCATGATGTAAAAAACTTCTGTAGCACTATTTACAGGGTTTTATTTGGTTTTAGGTGATTAGCAGTTGAATCATAAACAAATATTTAGGTTTTCGCTCATTTTTCATTTTTGGAATTTCAGGAAAAATGTGCTGTCTATCAAAAACACGATTTGAATATTTAAAAATGCGCTTGATAAGTGACTGTTGAACTCTCTGCTAAAAGTTTGCATTGTTTGCATACATGATTTTATTATAAAGAAGACAGAATATGTAATACAGTTGACATCTTGGAAAATATTCACTTGTTCGTCCTTGACCTTCAATCTTGATTTGATGGAAATTGCACGGTACGATTTTTTTTACGACCGGGTAAAACAGAAAGTACAGATGTTGAACTTTCGAATGATATATAATTTAGCCATGTGTTAGGTGGGTGCATTAAAAATGAAATTTTATGGTTAAAGTCACTCCCCTAAAGTTTACAATTACATTTAAAAAAAATAAAAGTTAACGTTATCAATTATCCTTTCATCGTATGACAAAGTTCTCGACTTACCTGCGCTGATATTGTTGAGAGTCGACTCCAGAACACTAAGTGACGCTTCCATTTTATCCAATCTATTCTGTAGAAATTCATTTGAAATTTCTGTGACGTTTTGTATCGACTTGGTAAAAACATCGCGTCCCGAGAACAAGAAAAATATAATAACTATAAAGTTCATCTTTAGAACAATCTTCACCATTTAAAAAAACTGATCTAACGAACAAGACGTTTCCAGCTTAGTGATATTTACTTTCAGCTGCACAAATTGTATGTATAGAAATAATTCGAAAGAAATGCGTATTAGTATAATATTAAAACATTTAAAATACATTAATGATAAAAAGGCAGATGACGATAATACTTTGACGTAATATTTATGATAAATTCAAGAGGATTTTGATATTTTCATCAAAATTATAAGTTTTGCAATGTTAAATCAAATAAAATGTTCACATTAAAGATAACGTAAACACTGCTTTAACTGTTCTTTCTTAAGAAAACAAAATTAGAGGTACCGTTATCACCAATATATCAATGAAACAGCCTTATTTTGAAAAGGATTCATGAAATGTGATCATTTGATGATATAAAATTCAGTTTATTATTCTTTTAAATTGATATCATTTCGAAAAGTCGGACAGTGGTTGATAAATCTAAAGTGTAAAATATTTCACATTTAAGTTATCAAGTTTTTAGGGAAAAGTAAGAAAATAACAAAACCATAAATCGAAGGCAAACAAAACAAAATAAAATAACGAAAAGATAAAAATTATTTAAAAAAAACATTACTAAAAATATTCGGATTTAGCAAAATGAACCCAAGTTGAATGAAGTGAAGTGGTTAATCGGGTAAATAAGGGCAACAGTAGTTTGCCGATGTTCAAATCTCATAAATTGATTCAAATCAAGATAACAAACCAAATCTGAAGGAATCGCATGAACTCCGAAAGGAGCCAGACCGCGAGTGTCGACAAGGTACTAGTAAGCGTCTCCTATTGTGTATGCATATCTAGCGAATCAACACTCAAATGTCATAATCGGGAATAGGACACAATAGTTAACTACAGATCAGAGTATTCTGTTATCTAAAGATTTAAGACCATAAAACATGTCGCTATATGTGTTGAGACACAAACACATCGTATCGGTAAACCAATATGTGATCTTATGTAGTATCGATTTAGGACGTTCCTCCTCATAACTCGATTGGAGTAGCTTCCGAGTAAGGGGTACACCTCTGTGCATGAAGTCCGTATTGTGTGAAAATTCAGAAACGTAACGTATTAACTGATAAATATAAACCCCATACGATTGGCAGATGGTATATTACCGTTCAGGAATGGAATGTTTGACAATTGGAAAGTTAAACTCATCGCTTTGTCATAGATTCTAGTTTATAGTCGTCCACCTGTGTCAATATCGAGGAAAAGATGAAGATATAAAGCAGACCTGCTAGTTTTGGTAGAATCCTTGATTTCAAGTTTACTTGGATTTATGAGATGCAAGCACTCACTCAAATGTGGGTTATTGCGTGAACATGAACAATATATCCGAGAGGAAAATTAAAGAATCTTGCTAGATATTTCTGTATGAGATCTGTTTTATATGATTACAAAAACAGTCGGCCAATAGTGCTGCACACTAAGATCCATCAGAAAACCGACCGTTTGTTGAAATATCATTGCACCAAATATGTCGATCTTTCATTTGAGCATGGGAAATAGCAGTACAAAGCGTAGACAATTACATTTTTGATACTACTGCAAAATTGTAATGATTGGGATTAAATATTTTGGAGAAGGTTTTGAATTTAAAAGAAAATCCACATCTGATTGACACTGCTGGGTAAATATACCTCACCACAATATTCCTAAAGGTAATATTTTAGTGTATAAAGAATGGAGGTTAGTTTGTGAAAAAATTACACAACAACAAAAAATATCTACTTCAGACCGGAAATTTACGATTGTTTATCAACATGTATAATGATATTGTAAATACTGTGTTTATGTTCATTAATTCGTTTGTGTTATAATTGTTTCAGTTTTCTCGTTAAAAGTATTTAGATAAAACTCCCAAGTAAGATTTGTAACACTTCCTACATAGTTTTATCATCAAAACACGCAACTTGAAAATGTAGATATTTGGAATAAAATGTTATGAATGTAAAAATATTATATATAACTGCGACTATACCTTTATATATATTTTTCCTTTTCAATCTTTGTGAACTGATATATAACTTTTTTTTTTAAAAATGTCTCATACTCTGTTTTTTTTTAATGTAAGTCTCAAAAAAAAAAAATTTTCGATAACATTTAGTTTGTTCCAACAGGATTAATGTCTCTTATTAAACATTAATGCGACAGTAGTAAAACGATGCCCAAATCTAGTAAATCGAGTAGGAAGAGACAAATCAAGATAACAAACAGGAACTGATGGTATATGTATATATAATAGCTCACATGTTACCATATATTTCCACATATATTACAGACGCTGTTTAAAGTAACGTTTTAGTCTGTGATTAAAGAATAAATACGTTATTTTGCTCAATGTTGATGTCATTTTTTTCTTACTCCAACATGGTATGTTTTTATAACATAAAACCAGTTTCAACCCACCATTTTTTCTTAAAATGTCCTATACAAAGTCAGGAATATGGCAGTTGTTATCAAATAGTCTATGTATGTTGGCGTTTGTTTTTATAGCAGTTCTGTGATTCTGTTGTTCCGTTGTTTTCCTTTTATAGTTGATGAGTTTCCCTCGGTTTTGGTTTGTGACCCGGATTTGTTTCAGTTAAATCGATTTATGACTATTGAACAGCGGTATATTACTGTTGCCTTTATTTATTTTGCGTAATTGATTTTTTTGACGCATTTCAAACTTTAGCGACTTACGGTTCTAAAAATAAAGCTACATGACCAGTACATATGTTACAACGTCAAAGTCCATATATTAATTATGAAGGCAGTATACCAATGTTTGCTACAGCGTCATAACATCATATGTCAAGATATTTAATATACAGGCTGTTTACTAATATTTATTCATCGTCATATGTCCAGATATTTGATATGAAGATTGTTTTTTTTACTAGAACTACCAATTATGAGTCGTCGTTCGTAACCAAATTCTCATAGGAAAATAATCAAGGAGGGACAATGTTAACATTCTTTACCTCCCATTTTCTCTTGGATACCCTTTTACTAATTAGTTTAGGAATACTCATATTGATTTCTCTGAAAATTGTAAGTATAACACATTGTGTTGTTCTTTACGACCCGACTTATTAACCTGTAGTCTTGGGACTAAAACAAAGTAAAATGTAGTCTTTCATTAGCGTAGGATATCAAATCAAGCATCGCACTTTTATTTCAGCTCCATATATTATAGTCACAGAATGCATTTTTTTTAAACAAAATTTCATCATCGGTACAAGGACATCATTCATAAATATAAAATAACGTGCAGACATCTTAAACGTTTAGGTATTTCACATCCCAACTTTTATGGCAATATTTGATACAAAACACAGAGATGTCGTCATTCACCTCAAAGCTAACCAAACCTGTAAACAGACTTATTCAGAAGGGATATAGTTTCGATACTGTTGTCAAGTCATTAAAGATGGCATTTTATTTGAATTGATAGTGATTCACTCATAGGGTCTCTAAATCGGAAATAAACACATTTATTCTAAAACCAGTTGTTGGCATGATACGGGTTATACTCTTCTCGTATAAATTATGATGACATGATACTCAACCCCTAACGGTAGGGATTTTGCTTGATTTTCTTATGATGAAGACATAGTTTTTCTATCAATTTAATTGAATTCTGGAGCTAGCATGTCAGTAAATGCCAGTAGTCCTTTGTTTATCTTTTTTGATCATTGTCATTTTGCTTTGTTTCTTTTGTTACCTATTCTAATATCGGACTCAGACTTCTTTTAAACTAAGTCTTACTGTGGTATTGCTGTGTGTTTGAATATTCCACATTGGGTAGAGGTATAGGTAAAGGATTGAGATCTCACAAAACATGTTAAACCCCGACGTATTTTTGCGCATGTTCCAAGTCAGGAACCTCTAACCTTTGCTAGTCTTGTACGTTCTTTTTAATTTTGGTTCATTTATATGTTTCGGAGTTTAGTGTGGCGTCTATTTTACTGAACTAGTATACATTATCGTTTAGGGGCTGTTTTCTGCTCTTTGGTTATTTTGTTGTCTCTTTGACACATTCCCGGTTTACAATCACAATTAAAATTATTCTATCCGTGGCATTCACCATTAAATTAAATCGGATAGATGCGAACAACAAGTTCGCCAATTTTAAAATGTTTCAATAAAAGGACATCATCCAGATGGAATTGATGACTTTCATATTCACATTGTGGACTTTCTTTTTTAATGTAGGACGATTCAAATAACATTTGCATATAGTGTTCGTATTTTTAGGTAATACGGTATTCAAGGGCTAGCGTTTTCTATTATGATTTCAATGCGAGAAGGTAGCTACTTAGGTACTAGTACTCTTATCAAAATAACATATCAGTTTGCCATTAAATAAGCCAAACTAATTTTGTTATATTAATACGATGATTTCTCTTCGGTTAAAAAGGGAACAGCAAACTAAGATGTTACTTTAATAAGATTGCTGCTTATAAAGGTTCTTTAAGAATTTGCCATATCTTCGACATATACGGATGTCAATATAATTTGGTTGATTGTTTTTCTAATATCTGTGTCACAGATGACTACAATTATGTTCAATTTGTACTCTCAAGTTCTCCATTTCTCGTTTATGAATGCAATGTGCCACTGAAGAAGGCTTGTTTTGTCATATGCCACACAATGGATGGCCTACGAGAAACTTGAATTATTCACCTTGCACTAGCACCTGATTTGAACACCGATTCTGTAAGGAGTTATTGTTGCGCAATATTTACTTTTCAGCGCAAATTTTTTCTTGTAGTTTGTCCCTTTTTCTTTTGGTCGTATTGTTGCCTTTCTTTTTTCGACTGGAATTTTTTGATTCCCTCGTTTATATCTTCTTACTGATCTTTTCATATTCTTCATCTTTTTCAATTTTTTGGAAAAATGAAAATACTTTTCATGATATCTTGATTCATATAACTCTAGATCTCGTAAAACCTTTTGCAAGTTACCTAATATGATATGTCATTTGGAAAAGAATGAAAACATATCAGTTTTTATTACATATTTCGGACGTACCTAACTATATCTAGCTACACCTACTTTTGTTTACTTTTGTTATTTTAAGTAGCCAGGG